AAAAAACAGATATTCTGACTAATAAATAACCGTTCATAGCCTTACCTCAGGTTAGAAGGCAGTCTTTGTCTGTCTTTTCTGCTCTAATTTAGCTATCGGTGCATGACGTTAATGTTTACTCACAATGCTAATGCTACCGTTACTCTCTGGCTCCTTAGGAGTGGGGGAGCCAAATGGCTGACTCACTGCTGCCAACTAGTGGTCAGATGCTGAACTACAACATAAAAATGAACAGTTGGCAGGAAAGTTGACATTTTAAACCTTGGTTAATTGCCAATAACTTTTGGGAATTAACTACATCTGTTAGCAAACTAGCTCATGTACCAAAACAATCATCGGATAGATTAACAATAATTTCACTCCCAATCAGGCAATCAAACTCTGTTTTTCCACACAGGAGAGAACAGTTTTTCCACACAGGTAGAATTACTCACCACTTTACTAACAAGGAGCTCATCAGTGTTTATTCTCACACATCAGTATTTAGTCATGCTAGCTCCACCGCTTCAGTGCTCAGTTAGACTGCAGCAGGTGTACTAGAACTAAACTACAGTTAGGCTGATGAGGATGGCATAAACACTATTCTACATTTATGAAAGGTGCATTTGGTGTTGTGCGTTATTTCAATATTTTGTTATAAAAAAATAAGGAAAGTGTTGAGGCATGAGGCAGGGTGAGACTGGCATTTTCCCTGGACGCTTATAAAGTCCTCCCACACCAGATTATGTGATTTCTTTGGGCTGCTGTGTGGAAATAAATCAAATATGCTTGACTGTGGGTGGACAACATTTGCTGGCTGGCATCTGATTTTTTAATTAGAGGCCAAACACAATGTATCATCCCCAAGCGCCTCGAAGCAACATGTTCCGTCTCCTCCAGATGATCCCCCCGTCGGATCTGTGAGCTGCTCTGCAGTAGAGGATTAAGACACTCTCAGGGGAGCGGCGCTACGATGTGAAGCAGAGAATTCACATTCTTTCTAAGACCTTTCTGAGAGATAACTGTTAGTTGTTTGTTATTCTGGCTGCTTTTGGTTGTCATTAAGAGAAACTGACAGGTTTATTGGTCCGACTGATGCCTGTGATGATCTGACTTCAGTTATTGGTGTTTGCAAATCAAATGTGAAATGTGAGAAACAGAAACAGGGGGATTTCACAGAAAACTGACAACACATTCCAAAAGCATTTAGAGCTGGATATGAGAGGTGGTCTTTTGAATCAAAGCTAGACATTAGACTCAGTGCTGCTCCCCTGAACTTGTTAAAATATGAACTGTCATCAAATATGAGCCAGGTGTGCTGGTCTTATTATGCCTGTCACAAAAGATGAAAAACAATGTGCCTGTCTGCATTCATTTGTCCACAGTGTTAGCAAAATATTTCATGAACAAATAGATTTTATTGAAACACTGAAAAAATAATATTTGGATGAGCATCTACAACAATTAAACTTTTTAAGCCAATCCCATTAATTTTTTTTGCCACAGCTGAGCAACTTTATTAAAACTAAAGATGACTTTTAGTCAGTTTTACAGATATTGTGCTAAAATGTGGTGTGTTGGTAGCTAAGAGTAATATTCCCAACACACTATGAACGCTGAGTGACCGTGTGAGATCTACTTATAAAACATTTCTATTTACTAACATACTGTCTGTTAGCAAAATATGTAATGAACTACTGAATAGATTGCATGGATGGATTTCTACGACACTCTCAGAAGCTCATCATTAGAAATACACCATCGGCTGTTTACATTTTAGAGTCAGCCCATTGTAAACTTTGTTATGGCAAAATGTCCTTGAAAAACACAAATATGTCTGTAACTTAGACAAGCTGACATGTACTAAGTTAAGATTTGGTGCAGCCATAGCTGACATTCATTTTCAGCACACTTTCTGTCACATCTTGTGAGATTTCACAAGACTCCACAAATGATCATTTTCAAGGTTTAACTAAAATGGCCACACCTCAGTCTCTTCATCACAGCACAAGCGTAATTTAAAAAGTCTGGAAAGATAAAAAGTGGCAAGTGATGTGTATCCATGTGTGAGAGTGAGGACGTTGTTGTTGTTGTTGTTGTTGTTGTTGTTGTTGTTGTGCCTTTATCTGTTGATGTGGTCATTTCACAGGTGAGAGTAAGTGAAGGAGCTTTTCAGCACCCCATTGTCAAGGTCTGGTGGTGAATGAACCCAGGTGCAGGCAGACAAGAACTCAAATAAAACTATTTATTAAACAAAAACAAAAGCTGACATGGCAGCGAAGACTTACATAAACTCAGAATGACACAGGGAACAGGAGACCAAGATTTATGGTGTAATCCATACAATGAACCAGCAAAGTAATGTGGAACTAAGACCAGTATTTATACAAACAGGGATGAGTGGCAGTTGGAAACAGCTGGGTGATTAAAGAGTGACAACAGTTGTGAAAGAACTGACTGGAAGAGACTGAATAATCTGAGGACTGAGTTGACATGGCATGAAAGGAACACTAGAGCGAGGCACAAGACAACAAAAAGCACACACACACACGACACAGATCCTTACAGTACCCCCTCTCCAAAGATCATCTCCCGACGATCACCAAAACACGGGAGGGTGGAGGGGGCACAAACAACAATACAGGACGGAGGGACAGAAAACAAAAGACAACGAAGGGAACATAAAAACAGAAAACTAAACCAAAATCCAACAGGAATAAAGTCCTGGGAAAACAACAAAATAGTCATTGGATGGTCCTAGGCATATCTGGAGGGTTCAGAAAGTTCAGATGGGCGCCCTGGGGCCCCACAACGATGAAAAGGAAGCTCCAGAGGGCGACCGTGAGCTGGGCCACAGCTCTGGAGGTGCTCCGGAGGTGCTGGCTCTGGAGACTCTGAAGGGGCTGCCTCTGGAGACACTGCAGGACCAGAAGATGATGTAGCTGCAGCAGGTGGCGTGGAGGTCTCAGCTGCAGCAGGGTTGTGGACCACCTCAGGGCCTGCAGCAGGCCCAGCTGCAGCAGAGGAAGGTGGCTATGCAGCAGCAGGCAGAAGGACCTCCATCGAGGCTGCACCGCACATGGTGACCACCGCCAAAAGTGCAGCAGAGGTGGTGACCACCACTTCCCTCCCGCTAAGGGCACCCACATAGGGAGCATAGGCGTCGACCCTCTCTGGGATACAGGAGGAGGAGGCATCGACCCTCTTTGGGACACAGGAGGAATAGGCGTCGACCCTCTCTGGAGCACAGGAGGTTGGAGGTCTCTGGGACCCCCTCGGCGGCAGCAATGGAGGCAGAGGTGTCCGGGACCCCATTGGCTTGGTTGAGCGATCCCATGTCAGCTCAGGAGAAACTGCTGCCCTTCTCCGATCGTGACGGTGACGACGTGCTGAACGAGAGGATGGAAAGGTTGGAGCAGACCTGAAGGCCAAGCGGGTTCCCTAGAACTGTGTCTGCAATCTTCTCTCCTCTTCCTCCACAAGAAGAGGGGATGGGAGGACCTCAACCCCAAGATCACAGCATTCATGTCTCCAAGTGGGCTGAAGATCTGTCATCCGGAAATCTCCACACCAGATAACAGACTGTGGCAGCTGGTCTCTCTCTCTCTCTCTCTCTCTCTCTCTCTCTCTCTCTCTCTCTCTCTCTCTCACACACAAACACACACACACAT